AAGAATCTTCCAGCCTCTGAGCCTGTTTCCATCGCACGCATGGTCCTCGTGGCAGTCTGCCGTTGAAACGACGATTCGTCCGTTTATCCGCGTGTCGACGTGACGAGGTCTGTGAAGCCGGGGGACAGCATGTCGTTGCATTATCCGCAGGGATATCGGTATCGGCCGGCGAGTAAGGTTGTCGGGCCAGGCAATGGCGAACAAGGTTCTGACAGTGATGTTGCCGAACTCAGTGATCTCGAGGACGACGAGGACGAAGATGGGGGTGGCCAGTCGACCAATAGACAGATCCTTCAACAAGACGAGGAGGAGGAGGAGGAGGAGGAGGAGGAAGAAGAAGAGGACGACGACGACGAGGAAGACGACGAAGACGACGAAGACGACGACCAAGAGGACGATGAAGAGGAAGACGAGAACGAGGAAGACGGAGTAGACGACGACGTGGACGGTGACGAGCTACCCTATCCTGGTTTCGTGCCGGTTGCGTTGCGATACCTCGACCAGAATACACGACCGCGCAACTGGTGTCTGGCGCTCATCACTAATCCATATCCTTTTGGATCGTAGCGACGACTGGCTGTCGTTCACTGAAACTGGTGATATCGTTATTTTCCATTCTTCTTCTTCTTCTTCTTATTATTATTATTATTATATACTTTCGCCCGTCGAGGGGGGCGAACACTTTGTTTGTTTCACGATTATTTCAGCTCGCGAGAGACGGAAATAAGTACAAATACGTAGCTTTGAGATTTATTTATTTTTTCTTTTTTATTTTACTTACCTTCTAAGCGAAGCCAGAATATTAGGAGTTTTTCTTTCGAGATTTTCACGCTCGTAAAGCATTTTTATTACGAGCTTGGAGTATTTCAAGAGTTCCTGTGTGTGTGTGTCGTTCGGATCTATCGGTGTTGCAATCGTACGTTGGCCACAGCAACGTCGAGGTTCCTCTTTTTATTCTCGAATTCTTACGTACACGTGTCCCCTGTTATCGACGAAATAATTCGAGCAGGCGTTTATTAATGGGCTGCCGATCGCGTAAATCAACTGGCGCGTGAAGGATTATTAAAATGCAACTGCATGTAGATGCAGAGAATGACGTAATTCAACGAGCCACCTTCCAAAAGTGAGATGAGAAGAAAAAGTCACGACTGCAGCGAGATGAAAATTTAAAAGTCATTTCAGCAAACCCGTGCAAACACTGACTGAAATGTAATAAAATAGTTCTGCAAATTATGAAAGTAATAAAAACTCCACGATAGGAATTTTCCAAAGCCTTTGGTCAATTCATTCTGCTACTTTGTACATTTGCACGGTGTCTATATATCCTGTCGATTGAAGTTGATCATTCGCCGGAGCCAAACTAAATTGACCTTTGAAGCTGGAAAATTTTTTGCAATTATTTATTAGTACTTATAGTATTATTATTATCTTGTGGACACGTCGATCGTAATTAATGCTTGCCAAAAGATCAGCGATTTTCTATCAAGCTAATATCTATCAACACTTTTATTCTGCATGTTTGTTGAAACGAATGTTGTTTAGCTTAAAGTACAACAGAGAAACAAATTTCCATCGAACTTCAAATATTAATTACAATTTTTAACATATGTTCATCGCAAGGATTTTATTTATTCGCTGATGTTTGCGTGTGCTCCTGTTTTTCAATTAAATATTTCCCCAAATACGTGGCAATATTTTCAAAATATTTTCAATGTTTTAATATATATATATATACATGGGAATATTTTCAAAATATTTTCAATGTTTTAATATATATATATA